ACAGCCAATCTCCAGAAATTGTGGTGAATACTGCTAAGGATGTCTATTCCTGAGGTTGGCAAATATTGTAGTGTTCTGCTAATATGCTTGGTCTATACGCAATTTTGTGCTTCTTTCTTACATATTTGTTGTTTTTTTTTCAGTGATGAAGATTATGAAACAATGTTGACGGCTGTATTTTTGACATTTTTAACTGTTATGTCTGTTTGTTTTGTTCATGCATCGTTGTCAATATAATGGAATTTGATGCGACCGTCATACAAGTCAGAGGTTTAGCTAGCTATAAAACCAGGTTCAATCCACAATTTTCTACATAAGAAAATTCCTGTACCAAGTCAAGACTATGACAGTTGTTATCCATTCGTTTGATGTGTTTGAGTTTTCAATTTGACATTTGTTTAGGGACTTTCCGTTTTGAATTTTCCGCGGTGTTCAGTATTTTTGTGATTTTGTTTTTGAATAATTTCACATTTCATGTCAATACACAGTAGCTTCCATAATAAAGCAATTGAATCAACAATGCATTTGTTAAAATCCATAAAAGATATCAGGTAAATAATGTTCTAAGTCAGACATGAATTACATCTTCATTTGATTCACCAGTAGCGCTCAAAACTAAACATTTGAGACTTCAAATCAAATTTTGCAACGAGTCATAAAATTGCGGTGGATACAACTAATGCGATTTATACCCATTGATAGAAAAACATTTGAGTTTTTACATAATTCAACGTTTTGTGAACAGTAGATATCAATTAATTTGCCAATCAATGATGTATCATAAAACCACAGCGATGTTGACTAATGGAACGGTAACTGATTGATTGATGATTTATCATCATGATTGATCAATTGATTATAACTAATCAAGTCAAACAATTCAAACACATTATTATGGATTAAATTTCAATCAATTAAGAGAATTCGTAAATAAGTTGATGTTATTTAACTATTATTTGTAAAACAAGTTAGTTTCATAGAGTCATACTTAAGAAGTTAATATGTGTTAAAACTGAACAGTATTGAACTACTAGTACCACCATACTGAGTCTATGCGAACGGAAAACATGCAATCAACTTGAAGAAAGTAGTTAGTTGTTCTCTTCCTTTCAATAGTCATTATACATGTATTTTACCTCTTGTCAAGGTTAATTTTAGAAACTAAACATAAAAGAAGGCTCATTATTGCCAAGATTTTGTGTCATATATTACAATATAATATTCAGATCGTTTGCCACCTTTTTGATAATCTTTTAACATTTTCTTAGACAATCATTAATGAGACACGATTCATATTTGACCTTTGTCTTACCGCTACTTGTTACCATTATTCCTGATACAAACAGCTGACCATATACAATATAAGTCTAAAATATCACATCGGAATAGGTATTCCACGACAACATGTTGAACATCACAAACGGGTCTTTGATGACTTTTCCCAATGACAATAATTGTTCTATAGTTTTCATTGGATTTTTATATGTTCTTGGTACAGTGATCGTTATGATAAATGTTCCATCTGTAATAATTGTCTTCGTTTCATTTTGTAGAAAAAGTGAAATAAAAAATGTCTATGTACTTCTCAGTTTAAGCATTACTGATATGATGTTCGGATTTCTTTTGGTTTCTTGTAATTAATACAGACATAACAACAGCTTGTTTTCCGTACATGGAATGTGTCGTTCGTTTTTATATAACCTCAATATTTTACTTCGTGTCAAATGTACATATTTTTAACATATCTCTGGACAGAGTGTGTATAGTTTGTTTGAATTCTTAATTGTTTATGAACCACCGACCTACGGTTACCATATTGACAGTAATTGGTTCCTGGGTCTTTGCCGCCGGATCATTGGGTTTGATTTAGGTTTTAAATGGAAGAGACAGTAATGAACATGAATGTTCGTTAAGTGGAGTCCTTAATTCAGGATTTCCGTATGCAGGTGCATTACTTGCATTTATTCAAATTGGCATATTGACAAATATTTCGATTTTGACAGATTTCATTATACGTCACCAGTATCGGATGGGGTCAATGGTGAGAAGTGGAATCAGTAATAGTGACATTCGCCTTTGTATAACTGTTTGTATTGTTAGTATTGTGAGTACCATGCTGAATGTACCATAGACAGTTGTGATATTCTACGGAACAATGGTTGAATGGCCGTCTAGTTTGTTCGAAATTCTATTTTTTTCCTGTCAACACTAACAGCAACTATCAATCCAATCATATATACTTATAGAACACGAAAATTTAAATCATTACTTCAGGAAAGTACACAGTTATTGTACTGCTGTAGAAAATAAAGAACTTTCATATACCTACATGGAGAATATTAGTGTGGTCGGTAAAATAGGAAAGGAATATTGTAAATATTTGCAGAAAATAATATTTGTTGACGGTATATCATTCAGATAATGCACATTTAAGGATTTTGTTGTCGCATAACACACCTCGGGTTTTATACTTCAAGAAAAACCTGAAAATGTGCATTATCTGTAAAATATTACCTTAGTTTTTTTGGCATGACCTTTATGAAATTTTTGTCGTTAATGCTCTTTTATGTCATATGATCTCTTTTATAGACAAAATGTGCTGTAATAGATTTTTCATTAAGTAATAGTAAAAGTGCAATGATAAGTTAATAATGATATTAAAAGACCTCCAAACAAAAAGGGATGTTCAGATCCCCGAGACCGAAGGGCTAGGGATTTGAATAGCCCTCTTTGTGAGGAGGTCTTTTAATGTCAATATTAACTTAATCATTGAATTTTTACTGACTTACAAACCGTCAAAAACATAAGAAAAGTACACAAAAAGCACTCGCAGAAACCTAATTCCCCGGAATTGGACAAGTCTAAATATGTTTACCTTAAATGATAGTTAAACAGTACTCAGACTGATAAATACAATTAACAGTTACCAAATTGCAACGGAAACGGACCGATTAAATGGCAGTACATCATTCAATTAATACTCATTTGTTATATTTTGTTTAGCATTAAAATAACACAAAATGATAGTTTTACAAAATTAGGGGGTACATTTATATTTTTGAATCCAAGTTTTCAAAATAACGATTTCTTATTTAATAAATGAGGCATTCAAAACCCTATACATTCCTCATTTATAACTGACCAATGAATATTCTGCACAACAACTTCTTGTTATATATATATTTGATGTTTTTATTCTGTCAGTAATCATGAAACAGACCAGACCTAAGAAAACAGTAAGTAAATTCTTCCGTTAATTAGCTTTTTAAACAGCTTGTTTCAGAACTTTTAATCGAACAGACCAAGATGCATAAGGTCCTTTACAATATTCATCCGGTAAATGTTCATTCCTTTTTGATTCTGTAATTTTCCTACACTACGTTACATGCGAATGGAAAATAATTAGTGTTGTCTGTTCAGTCCAATTAATTAATAAATTTTGGTTTGTTTTTTTTTTTCTAAATAAAAACTATGCATGCAAACTTCAATGAATAAAATCGTATTAAAAGCATAAATGTGACATCTATAGCATCAACTAGGTTTCACTGAACCGATCAAAACGTGTTTAGTTGACATATATTCGTAGGTTCGATGTATTATATGAAAACAAACTCATTTATTTTAGTCGTCCTTTATTCCCATTTTATGTCCAACTGAAGAAACACCTGAAAATTTTTTTTACCTTTCTTAGTTTTATCCTTGCCTGACAAAACATGGTGTTATAAATCGTATTAAAACAGTAGATAAAAACCATTATATAGTAAAAAAAATATTTAAACCTTTTTTATAAGCAGTCAGGGCCCGGTTGTTCAAAAGTGTCGTTAAGCTAACGACTAGTTAAGCCTAACGACTCGTTAAATTTTAACATTGTTGTTAGCTAATTACTGCGTTAAATTATGTTGTTCAAAAATATTTAACGACTGAGTTAACTAACTACTTGTTAAAAAATTTAACAACTGTTTATTTTAACATTTTCCCATAATTCCAAAAAATTTACCCAAAATTCCTCCACTTCCTGTTTGAAAATGGCTGAAGAGCAACGAGCAACCCCCCAAGAAAATTCCAAGAATTAGAGGGCAGAATTTTTCCAGTATGGCAGTTAACCTCATCAGTAGGAGAGTTGTTGAAGAATTGGCTTTACTGAGGGGGAAATTCGGTAAGGATGTGACAGCTGATGCAAAAAACAGAATGTGGGAAAAAATAACTGCAGAAGTTAATGCTCTTGGTGTGAGCTATAGGCAAGTTCTGACTGTGAAAACCAAGTTCAGAAACCTTACAAGAGACGCCAAAGAAAAATTTGTGTATGAAAAGAGGGAGAGAAACAAGACAGGAGGAGGACCTGCTCCAAAACCAATAAGCGTTGCTGAGGAGAACATAATAAATGCATTAAAAGACACCTCCTCTTTCAAAGGAATAGATGAAGGGATGTAAACTTCAGTGGGCAAGTATTTTAGATTTACTAATCAATGATATGCTTCCATTAATTTGTTTAATTCCTTTGAAACAATAAATCTGACGGTTATTTTTATTGCTATCATAGAAAATAATGCAGAAAATTATTAAGCCAGAGTGCGTCGTCTGCTTTGACATTAGGATATCCCTTTCAACGAAATTCCCTACAGACGTCGCCGATGTGCTAAAAATAGAATTTTATGTTGTGTTATAATGCAACCTTTCTCTTACCTTAGATATATAAAAATACCTTCTTATGATATTGATGAGAAATAATCATCACATACAAATCTATTTATCGATAAAAAAAAGGTATTATAATTATTGTTTTGCAAGAGCTGAAGTTTGTTGGCCATCACCTTTGGCGGTCTATTCTGCAATGACTCTTACATCATGTTTTACCACCATGAGAAAAAAAATAAGCTGTAGTAAAATTTTCAGAGAAAATCCTTTTACTTTTAAACATTATTTAAATTTCAATAAAGTTATTTGAAAATACAACCAAGAACGAACTTGCATTGGATACTTTACTAAAGTCATTGACATGTTTATAGTCCATTTCAAAATAGGCATGCATTATTAAAAATTGAGTTATCTTTCTTTGTGCCTGATTTTTTTGTAATTTTCACTTAATCATTTTTACAGGGTTTCCTCAGCAGACAGAAACATGTGAGAGTAGACCAACACAGTTCAGTATACAAGGTGTGTATCTAAAGGAGATATTCATGCATACACATGACAATAAATGTCTAAAGAAATTTACTTTCTTTTAAGCATTAAAATCAATTTTATCAACAAAAAAAGCCCATTAAATTGCTTGATTTGTTAGTTATTATTAAATTCAGGATTAGTATAGTAGCCATCCTATACCTATCATTGTTTAAATCTGAAACCTTTTATAAAATATTAATATTTAAGATATAAACAGTTTTTAATATATAGTTTATTAAATTGCTGAGCAAATTGTTAATTAAATGAATCAGTTCATGATATAGATTTATAAAATGTTAACACTGACTGGTAATTAATTGCAGTAATATTATAATTGTAACCATAAGTAAAGAGTGAGATTATTTGCCCTTGTAACAAATAATTTGGTATAAAATTGAGAGTGTAAGTATAATCAATACAGTGGTGGATCAAGTCATTTTAAAAGATCCCCATTCAAATGCATAGATCATAAAAAAAGGGGGGGTTCACTGCAATGAAGAATAATGTTCATGCATATTCATCCCTTTTGTGTATAGTATTTATATGACAGCTAATGAAAACAGGTACAAGAATAACATTATTCAAGTATTATTTTATTTGATTTTGATCGGATGAAGAGTTCTTACTATCAATCAAATATCCCAAAATAAAATGATTGTTAAAAAACATAAAATTATTATGTATCTTGATTTCATTTCAGAAAGCTCATCATCTGATCAAATATATACTGCTGAACCTGTCAGCTCACCCATTCCAGCACAGATTGCTGTCTCAGGATGCCAGACAGCTGATGGTAATTATTACTTAGATGTTTGCATTATGCTATTATTTTTACAATTCTGCATTTCATAAAAATGAAGATGCAATGTGTCAGAATCAATATTTGAATTAAAGAACTAAAGTTGATATATATTGCTGTGAAAAGAATTGATATGTATAAAAAAATGACTCATGGAGGGTATTATACAGGGTCTCTGTAATAGCACGCTTTAAGTAAATTTTGTATCTATTTACTTACTTTCATTCAATTGGTCTTTATATATTTTCTAAAGTTGTAATTGACAGTACAGAATATAATGACTTATGGAAAGAGCTATCATGGCTATATTACTTTTTTACCATACCTTTCACCAATCTATGTTGTTCAATTGATGGGGATTTTATGTCTTGAATATATGTATCTTGACTGACACATTTAAATATAAATATTCAAATATACATCAACTTCATTTCCAATTTGGTGGATAGTTGTCTCAAGGTCTTCTAATCAATCATACTATTCCTCCTTATTTGTATATACTCAACACATATGCAATGTATACCCAATCAACTAAGGCAATTTTAATGTTTCTTTAATCAAAACTTTTAGAACCACCATCTTCTGTGGAGAGTATCTGGATTAGAAGACTGGAGCAGGTTCACCAGAGAAATGAAGAAACACCTTATACTGAACATGCCAACCTATCAGCCCAAATACCTCTTTCATTTACTAATAGCAGCACTCAGCAACCACCAAAAGCCAGGTATATGTTTTAGATGAAAGAATACAACAGCCTTTATAATTTCTATACACTAAGTAAGTTGGGTATGTACTGAATGCTCTTTTAGCGTTGTATATATCTGGCGCTGCAACTTTTTTTAAATGGAGCATCACTGATGGGTCTTTTGTGTATGAAACACCTGAATACATCCTGGAATATACTTGCTCTTTGTTAAAGGGATTATGATGATATAACTTGGCTTAATTGGGCTTCCTTTGGACTCTGATGTACATATATATTGTCTAATTGGCAATCATACCACATCTTCTTGTGTAATGATTTGAATACTGATAAATATTCTTAAAGTGCCAATAAGTTTATACAGCAGCCCTGTATAAAATCAAGTGTTATCTCCCTTTAAATTGTTTCATTAAACTTGTTCTTTTATGATCAAATATGTCCTGTAAATGGGGATCTAAATTCTAAATCAAATTATCTCATTTAACTATCAGTTAAATGTAAGATTCAGAGAAATATCCCAAATACTCATTTGTAGAATTAATTAAATGAAAGTCTACTTCACCTTTTGTTTAAATATTAATCGGGAACACTTACTTCAATATGATCAATTTTTGTTAAAGAGTATTAGTTAAAGGTATAAACATTTATGTACAAGTTGTAGAAATCTTAGCCTTTGAAAAAACAATTTTACATAAATAGTTATACCGGTTTATAATAACTATATTTATTTACAAGATTTACCAAGTATTAATTTTTTTTATATATTTCAGTGAGAATAAACGGACAAAGAAACCCAAGAGAACTGCAGAAGATGTGTACGAGTTGCAGTGTCAGGCATTAGAGAGCGAGCTAAAAAGAAATCGGACCCAAATGGAACTTTTCAAGAAGCAAATGGAGTTTTATGATTTGATAAAGAAAAATTTTGAAAATAGTTGTACAGAGTCAATGTTAGAGGCTTTATTTCAGTAACTTTAATCAACATTTATCTATAGTTCCATATTAATGTTATATTTTTGACATGTTTTAAATTATTGTTATTGATAAAATACATATTCTGAAAAAAGCTTTTTTCAATGTTTTATTCATGATTTCAGTGATTAAAAAATGTGGAGGAAATGTGGTCTCTGACACCTCTTCCGTCCTGATCACCAAAGAAACGTTCCCCAAGATCTCCATCATTGTCTATCACTACTCCATCATCTTCAATGTCTGGTTCATTTAATAGGATGCAAATATTGTGAAGAATAGCACAAGCAATGATGATCTTGCATGCTTTGCTTGGTGTCATTCTTATCTGAAACCAAAGAGTGAAAGTAATGTAGAATTATTGCCATTTTTTCACAATAGCATGTTAATTTGGTCTTAGAAGTTAGAACTTAAACAAGAGTGCACATGCTGAAATGACTCCCCTTCTTTACTAATCCTTGCTATTATGTTGATAGTCCTAAATATAAAGCTTTACTACAACTATCACATAAACTTAACATGATACAAGAAAATGAGGTCAAGGTCATATAAACCAAACAAGAAATACATGTACACCTAACAATTATTCAATACACTAAAGATAGTTGACCTATTACTTATAGTTTATAAGAAACAGACTTAACCAATAAAACTAAACATTGACCAATGAACCATGGAAATGAGGTCAATGTCAGATGAACCATGCCAAGCAGACAAGTACAGGTAATGATTCTTCCATACAACAAACATAGTTGACATATTGCTTATAGTTTAAGAAAAACAGACCACAACACAAAAACTTAACTTTGACCAATGAACCATGAAAATGAGGTCAAGGTCAGATGACACCTGCCAGCTAGACATCTACACCTAACAATCATTCTATACACCAAAATCAAACAAAATTTAATTTTTGATCCTTTGCATGGATCTCGACATTCCCAATTTTGCTCAAAATCCAAAATCTGAAACCAGAGTTAAGATTCAGCACACCTAATATATTCAATAATTTTTGTAAAAATCAAACACAACATTTAATTTGGACCCTGATTTGTACCAACTTGAAAACTGGGTACAAAACCAAAAATATAAATTTATGTATAGATGCAGGATATCAAAGAACCCAAACAATCCAATTTTTGTTAAAATCAAAACTTAGTTTAATTTTGGACCCTATGGACCTCAAAGTGAACCAATTTGCAAACAGGTCCAAAATTAAAAATCTAAATACATGTTTAGATTCAGCATATCAAAGAACCCAATCAATCCAATTTTTGTAAAATGAGATAAAGTTTAATTTTGGACCCTTTGGATTTTATATTATATGGACTAATTTGAAAACAGGGCCCAATATAAAAGTATTAATACACAGATAGATTCAGCATATAGAACCACAAAAAAAATCAGTTTTCTGATGAAATCGAACAAAGTTTAATTTTGGACCCTTTTTGACCTCAATGTGGACCAATTTCAAAATATCCAAATCAGTAACGTGATAAGAACCCCAACAAAAGATGAAAGTTCTTTTTTTTTAATCAATTGCATTTTTTTAGGGAGCTACCATTTGATTTGCATGTGGGGGGGGGGGGGCGGGCTAGGATGAAAAATTTTGTCCTGCCTATTTATTTTTCCCTCTATTCAGTCCTGCCTTTTTTATTTTTCACTCTATTCGGTCCTGCTTTTTTTTATTAGTTTATCCTGACTTTTTTTACCTAAATTGTCATCCTGCCTTTTTTTTTTTACTCAAAACTCTATTTTTTTCAAATTTCATCCTTGCCCCCCCCTTCCCCCATAAAAATCAAATGGTAGCTCCCTTATGTTCTATGACACTGATCATTTGCATAAAGAATTGATTTTTTTTATGCTTTACCTCTGAGTGTAATATATGGAACCGTCTCTTCAGCCTCCCAAATGTTCTCTCAATCACACTTCTTGTTGAACAGTGGCATCTATTGTACAGGATTCTGGTATGGGGTCATCAAAAATGGACGACAAGGATAACCACTATCCCCCAGCAGTACACCATTTGCCCATCCACCATTTTGTTCCATGTAGGTACACACCTATACATAAAGGTTTATATTTCATTTACATCTTATATTTGGTTAAAACTACCATTTGTATAAATTAAATGTATATATTCAGCTTCACGGAGGAGTTACACTATTTACCTTAAATAATATTGAGCAAGACTATTTTTCTATATTCCTTTTTCAGTTATTGTATATCAATATTTTTTTAACATAGCCACCTCTTAAAACTAATTGGTTGTTTCTTTATATATATAGAATAATTGATTTTTTAACATATATATCATTTACTAAAGATATTTCTATATTCTTTTTTCAGTTATTGTATCTCAATATTTTTTTTAACATAGCCCCCACTTAAAACTAAAAGGTTGCTTCATTATATATGGAATAATAGATTTTTTAGCATATAAATCCTTTACCAAAGATATGGAAATACAATTGCAATCTTATATGTATAATGTATTAGCCTTTCTTTCATTAATCCAAATTTTATTATGCTAAAATGATTAATTATATGTAAATGTGAAATGATAAATTCATTATTTTGAAATGAAATTCAAATGTCCTCAGATTGGTATTTTTACACCATTATGTGTAACGACAAAAAGGGAAAAAAATATTAATGATGACAGGCAATAAAAATAGGGGGTTTATGTCCAAGAAGAAGATTTTGACTTCCCGCAGTGGTAACCAATTCAAGATAAGAGATTTTTAATATGTATTGAGAAAATAAGAAGTCTTCCTACTGTTAACATATAGTGCTTGAAAGGGACTATGACTAATAAAAGATGACCAACATGGCAATAAAATACATACTTGTGAAGTCCTGAATATGTGGGAATCATGACTGCTACCTGGCCAGTTTGCATTTATGTTTGTGAATTTACCTGCAAAATATAGAATATTATACACAATGCAAAGAAGAAAGAAATGTTGTAATAGCATAAACAGAATTATATGTAACAAATTATCTTTTATTATTTATTATATTTTTCTAATTAAGAGGTGTAGCAAGAGTTTCAAAGAGAGGATTATTTGGGATCATGCAACAGTGGACTAAAAAATAAAATTTATTTGAATCCATTTACCTAAAAGTATTGTAATGGTAATCTTAAAAGGGGGTGTCCAAACATTTCCAACTACAAGTGTATAATTGCTTCAAATTTCAGAAAACACAATGAATAACCATGATAACTCAGATGTACAATGCATGTATAGACTCACAAATTATGACTTAATTATATTGTTTCAAACTAGGAAAACATGATATTAATAATTAAATCAATTGTGCTAATACATCTTTATTTTTTATAGTTGATCCACATCAGAGCAATATTAAAATTATAAATTGTACTATAGGTTAACCTAGGTTAATCTTTTTTTCTTTTGGATTAAAAGGGAAAATTTAAGAAATGTATCTGAAACAGCAGTGGCGGATCTGTGGTGGGGTTCCAGGAAACCCCCCTTCTTAGGACTATCAGTGCATTTGAATGGGGACATATGGTTGGAACTCCCCTTTATCCTAGGTTGGGACCCCCCCCCCCCCTTTTTTTGAAAATGGCTGGGCCCCTGAACATAATCTTTTTCTCATTGAAGTAAAAATGACAAATAACTTCTTTTAATATTGAATAACCAATATTTTAATTTACCTGTAATAGGTAAACCATATAAAATCCTACTTTTATGTCCTAGATGAAGGTTTACACTGGAGTGAAAGTGAAAGTAATTACTATGTGAGAAACAGACTATAGGGGTCCCAGTCATACAAAAAAGTTGAAACCAGTTTATTATGTTATGAAGGTCAATGTCATATTAGATAAGAAAAAAATGTTTTACCTCTGGCATCACAAACAGCCTGCACATTGACAGAATGTACCCCTTTCCTATTCACGAATGATGGTTCATCTTCTGATGGAGCCTGGATACGGATGTGTGTCCCATCTATTGCCCCTAGCACATTTGGGAAACCACTTAGACGGTAAAAGTCTCCTCTTGTTTCATCAACATTTCTCGGCCACTTGATAAACTCATCCCGTTTGTCACATAATGAATTCAATACATCAGACACAATACGTGAGACAGTTCCCTTGTGCAAACCTGTAAACAGACCAAAAACAACAACATACAATTTTGGAGATCGATAAAGTACAAAAATAAAATGTGTATTTACCGTTTGATTATATATCTTATTTAGAAAATCAACAAATTGAAAGTATCATTAAAAAATCTGCCAAAGATAATTATAGCAGTCGATTAACACCACATTGGCAATGTTTACTTAATTTTAAATGACATATGATAAATATATAATGAAATCTTACCTATTGTGTCTCCAACTACTTGCAAGAAACTGCCTGTGGCTAAAAATCTCATGGTTACCATGACTTGCTGTGGCACAGTGAGGGCATGGTTTCTCTTTGTTTTTCTTGATACATCATTGCTAACTAGGTTGGAAATGAACATAATTCCTTCTCTACCAAATCTGTACCTTTCTCTTAATTCCTCATTGGACACATTCAAAGAAAGGTCATCTTTGAGGCGAAAATGCCTTTCTTTTCTCTGAGGTGGAACAGGTACTTGCATGAAGGCGGCCATATTTAACAATAACTTAGATATTTAATCGACCTCCCAGAAGTTGTTAAAGTTAACGACTCTTTAACATTACTTTTGTCGTTAAATTTTTTGAACAACAGTTAACAAATTTGTTAAATTTAACGACTCTCTAACGACACTTTAACGACTGCGTTAGCTTAACGACACTTTTGAACAACCGGGCCCAGTTATGTAATAAATTAAAGGAAAAGAAAAAACATTAAAATTTGAATGGAAATAGTACATTATAGCAATTTATAAGATCTTGTCTTTGAGTGCTAAGTACATGTAACAATTTACGAAGTTGATTGATTGTTGTTTGCTTTACGTCCAGTGGCAAATATTTTATGCATGTTCATGACTTTAACACATAAAGTCTGTAAATACAATACTCAATAGGTAGGTCGTGCAATAGGA